GGGGCCGGAGCCTCCACGCGGCAACGCGTGCAGCCGCGCCAGGACCTGCAGCCGCAGCCGGACCCGCACCTGGACCCAGACCTGGACCCAGACCTGCACCCGGACCTACATCCACATCCAGACCTGCACCCAGACCTGCACCCAGACCCGCACCCACATCCAGACCCGCACCCACATCCAGACCCACACCTGAACCTGCACCCAGACCAGCACCCGGATCTAGATCTGCACCCACATCCAGACCTGCATCCACATCCAGACCCTCACCCACATCCACATCCAGACCTGCACTTACATCCAGACCTGCACCCGAACCTGCACCCAGACCCACACCCGGACTCAGACCTGCACCCACATCCACATCCAGATCCACACCCACATCCAGACCGGCACCTGGACCCACACCTGGACCCAGACCTGCACCCACATCCAGACCCACACCCATAACTGCATCCAGACCCCACATCCGCACCCAGACCTGCACCCATAACTGCACTCACACCCAGACCTGCACCCCTATCCGCACCCAGATCTGCACCCGGATCTGCACCCACATCCAGACCAGTATCTGCACCTGCACCCAGAACCCACATCTGCACCCAGACCCGCATCCAGCCCTGCAGCCAGCCCAGCAGCACCCACAGGAGGCACCTTCCCCCCTCTCCCTCCCTTCCTTCCCCCCTCTCTGTCCCCTGTCCCCATCCAGCCCCAGGTTCCTCCTGGCCAAGCTCCAACCCGCACAGCCCTCCCCAGAGCCCGTCCTGTCCCGTCCCCAGTCTGTGCCAGGGCTCCGATGCTCCTGTCCTCTCCCATCTCATCCCATCCTGGACCCCATGATCCCATCCTGGCCTGTCTCACCCCATCCTGAAGCCCCCCACGCTCCCATCCTGTTCTGTCCCAATCCCTTCAGCTCATGATGCTCCTGTCCTATCCGTCCTGTCCCACTCCATCCCTGTCCCACATACCATGATGTTCCCATCCAATCCTATCTTGTCCCATCCCATCTTCATCCTCTTCTCATCTCTTTCCTGCAGCCCACAATGCTGCTGCCCCATTCCATCCCGCCCCATTCCCATTGCTGTCCCGGAGCCTTCATGGACTCCAGAGGATAAACCAGGATGGATGGGGTGCCAGGAGGCCCCAGGACCATGGGGGATCCCAAGGCTGGCTGCAGTGGAGACCCACAGTGTGGAGGACAGCAGGGAACATTGAGCTCCTTTGCGTGACGCTCCGTGGTCCTCAAGTGCCACCCCTTGGTCTGAGCCAGACACAGCAGCCCCAGAATCGCGAAGGTTCCCGGGAGCTCCCGGCCGACTGGAGCTTTCCCAGGCTGGAAAGGGATGAGTTGGGAATGGGGGGACCGAGAGCAGGACGAGCTCCTCAGCAGCAGGTTTCTCCCAGGCTTCCTGCACGCAGTTTGGGAAGGGACCACGAGGGCTCGGCCTAGCCCAGCGTGGGGCTGGTGGATGGGGTCGAGGCACCCATGGGTGCAGGCGCAGCGGGTGCCAGGACGTGGTGGTGGGTGTCAGGGCACGGTGGGTGTCACAGCGTGATGGCTGCGAGGGCTCAACGGGGGTAAGAACACGATGGGGGTAAGAGCGTGACAGGCTAAGAGCGCAACAGGGGTAAGAACGTGACGGGGGTAAGAACGTGACGGGGTAACAAGGATGATCGGGGCCTGGAACATCTGCCCTCTGAGGAGAGGCTGAGGGAGCTGGGCCTGTTCAGCTGGAGAAGAGAAGGCTGAGAGGGGACCTGAGCAGTGTCTAGAAGTACCTCAAGGGAGGCAGTGAGGAGGATGGGGCGGCCTCTTTTCAGTGGTGGCCATCGACAGAACTAGAGGAAACGGCCACAAACTGAAGCACCAAAAATTCCACATGAACTTAAGGAAAAATTTCTTGCCAGTGAGGGTGCCAGAGCACTGGAACAGGCTGCCCAGAGAGGTTGTGGAGTCTCCTTCTCTGGAGATCTTCAAACCCGCTTGGACGCAGTCCTGTGCCACGTGCTCTAGGTGACCCTGCGTGTGCAGGGGGTTGGACTAGATGATCTCTAGAGGTCCCTTCCAACCTTCAGCATTCTGTGATTCTATGAAACCAACAGCAAAAGTCAGTGGTTTTAGTCAGAAGAGCTGAAAATACCGTGGGAAACACCCAGGGGCAGCCGCTCCAGTCTGCAGGCACAGGCGGCTCTTCCCCTGCTACAAAACACCCGTCTGGACCAAGCTGCAAAGTCCCGGGAGCAACCGCAGCCCTGGGAGCATCTCCGGGACACGAGTCATTCCAGCTCGGGAGACTCCCGAAAAAAGGGAGGAGGAGGGAAACCCCCTGGAAGCGCCTGGGGCGCTCAGTGGGCGCCGCGCCGGCCGTGGGCACCCAGGAGCTGGCGCTGGCTGAAGAGGCAGAAGGCGATTTCCTCGCAGCCGCTGCGCTCGCCGCACTCGAACAAGCAGCCGAAGAGGCCGTCGGGGCACACGGCCAGGTCCGAGTACCCGCACGGGCCCTGGTAGAGCAGCCAGGGCGGCCACCAGCTGCCCCCGGACAGCGGCGCCGGGTTCACGTAGACGCCCAGGTCACGCCGGCAATGCGGGTTGGTGGGGTGGGAGAAGAGGAGCCAAGAGGCTGGGTTTGCATTGGCCTTGGCATCGTTGGCTTTGGCATCATTCACCTTGGCATCGTTGGCCTTGGCAGCTTTGGGGTTGTCATCATTCACCTTGGCATCCTTGGCCTTGGCATCGTTGATGTTGGCACTGTCGGCAACGGTGGCGTTGGCAGGGTTGGCCTTGATGTTGTTGGCCTTGACATTGTTGGTGACGGCATCACTGGCAACAGCATCGCTGGCCTTGGTGTTGTTGACCTCGTCATGGTTGGCCTTGGCATCGTTGGCGATGGCATCATTGGCGATGGCATCGTTGGCAATGGCGTTGCTGGTGATGACACTTTTGGTGACGACATCACTACCAACAGCCTCGTTGTTGATGGCATCATTGGCAAACGCATCGCTAGCCTTGGCATCGCTGCCATCGTCCCCGTGGCCGCCCTCGTCCCCGCGCTCCGGGACGAAGCTCACCACGCTGCCCTGGCAGCCATGGGGCGGCTCGCAGAGCCCCTCGCAGGGCACCGCATGCCCGAACCGCAGCCCCTGGTCCGCGCTGA